GATTTAACTAAGATAGACAGTTTTATATTTAAGTGAAATTTTCCTTGATTATTAACACGCAGTTTATGAAAACCTGTGTTGGTTTCTAAGAAATGTTCAGGATTTCTTTAGAGCAATAAAAATGATTTTTAAAATGAGAACCTTCTAAAAGTTATGTCTTTGTTCAGAATCTGCTCTCAGTACTTGCTTGAAATGAATTATTTGCAGCAGTGCTGCTGCAATGATTTTTTTTTTAGCTTGTCTGGATTCAGGGGTTTGATGCCTGTGACAATCCCTCATATAGTCTCAGTTTTCTGGTCAATCCAGCCAAGTGAAACCATGAAAAATAATGAAATTTGCATCTTTTTATAATCTGCAGACGACATTAACTCCAAAAATAATCACTGATTGTGGAAACTTTGCGTTGGACCTCCAGTAGCTTGAATTCTGAGTCTTTCAGTTTTGGGATCTTTATTTCGAAATGACTCAGTCTGGTCCTTTTTTTTTTCCAGCTAGATAAGATGCTTTTGACTCATAATTAATAATCCAATTGTAACCCTTTACCCTGATAATAATAATTGAACTTAATTGATCTCATATTAGAGAAATGTATCTCTGCATCTTACCCATCCCCTTGGGGAGCAGTGGGCTGCTATTGTGTTGGGCCTGGGGAGCAGTGTGGGGTTAAGGGTCTTGCTCAGGGACCCAGAGTGCAGGCTTATCCTGAAAACATGGCTGTGGTGGCTCCTGAAGCACAGACTCCAGCTGTTATTTATTACATTTTTATTAGTTGTAAGCTATGATAATCAAAATGAATAAAAATAGTTAATTATAAATTGGCATTAAATAAGTAACTTTTTTGTGTTGCCTTATTAAGATTCCTTTTAATGTGTTAATGTGCACCTGTTGTAGTGATACTACTGTGATACTAGTGATGTAGACTGTGTGAAACAGACTGCTGAGCTTGTATGATCAATGTATGCTCTTCTGTGTATCATTCATCTAATAATAAAGGTCATATGCTGCAAAACTATATAAAAATAAATATTTAAATGCATTTCCAGTGTAGAGGCCTTTTAAGGCAGCTAAGATTTTTTTTTTTGCTGGCTCTGGTTCATCCTCGCGGTTTACTGAGAATTATGGTCTAAAAACACATTTCCTGATTCCTTAAGTCAGTTTTTGTCCACATTCTACTGCAGCGTCCCAACCTCTTTCCTGCAGGACAGAGCGTCTGGCTCGGGACATCATCCGGGACATGGGGGGACACCACATCGTGGCTCTGTGCGTGCTGAAAGGAGGATACAAGTTCTTTGCGGACCTCCTGGACTACATTAAAGTGCTCAACCACAACAGCGATAAATCAGTCCCGCTGACGGTGGATTTCATTAGAGTGAAGAGCTACTGTGTAAGCTGCCTTACTCATTATATTTCCAGGAGCCACTTATGCACTGCGGTTGGCAAAATACCAATTAAAGCAATCTATAAATGAGAAACCTCCCCTCTGCATTGCGCATAATGTGAAGATTTAGCGTTTTAGAGGGAGTTTGGAAAATTAAATCCCAAACTTGTAGTGATTCATTGTGTCTTGTATATGTTTGTCACCTAGAATGATAAATCAACCAACAGCGTTAAAGTGATTGGAGGAGACGAGCTTTCCAACCTTTCAGGAAAGGTGAGTCTTCTTCAACCTTCAAACTCTTTTCTATTGATAGATGCAGATTTTAACAAATTATTTTTTTTCCGCTTTTTTCCCTACAGAATGTGTTAATTGTTGAGGTAAGATAATGTATGGTTGTGATTTTTATATTACAAGGTCTAAATTTTGTTTACATTTGCATTAGTTCTATTGGATTCAAATGACCTGCTAATTGATTTGCATGTATTGTTTTCGTTAGAGTTTTATCAGACTATAGCGAGTGGCTGAATCAGTGTCCACTCAGCTTGCTTGCTTTTATTAAGCTTTATCAGAAAAATCCTTCTTCAGTTCATTAATTGGTCAAATGCCAGTTTTAACAAATGTATGTCTCTGTTTATTGTATCCATTTCCTGTCGCTGTAAAAGGATATCGTAGAGACGGGAAGGACGATGCAGACGTTACTTTCTCTCCTGAGTGAATGCAGTCCCAAGATGGTTAAAGTTGTGAGGTAGGTAGGAAGCACCCCAATGTATTAAACAGGGCAGAGCAGGCAGTTGGATAATAAACCATAACTTTAACTGACTGCTGTGTCCTCCTACAGAGTGCATCTACATCTGATAGTGCTCTTAGCTAATGGATACCTGAATTAGAGATGTAATGTGACAGAGGGAGGGAGCAGCTTAAGAGTTAATCTGCTAGACTATAAACTGCACTCCAGAAGCACAGGATCTTTTTTTTTTTTTCCCTTATGTTTTCCTGCTAGCTTTGTAAAATGGGGCATGCTCTGAGCAAGGATGTTTGAAAACAGGCGTATTAATGTTGTTTCTGATGCTGTTTTATACTAAATGCTTCAGGTTTTTTAAAATTTAAAAGCTCTCTTCTTATTTGGTTGAGCTTGATCTGCCTTTTTTTTCCTCCAATGACTCAGTCTCTGTTATAACCTATACAATGCTTCAAAGAAGTATTTGTCTGCTTTCTTTTTAGCATAGGCGTGGCCGAGATGTAGGACAGGGGATTAGTGTCCTGGAAAGGCTGAAAGATCGCAGGTTTAAACCTCAAACTTTCACTCTGGGTCTCGGAGTTGGAAATAACTTCACATTGTTCCCTGGGTGCTGCAAGCTGCTCACTCCAACACTAGGAGATGGGTGAAATGCAGGGGATTCATTTTGTGTTTTTTTTAAAGATATAGATCATTGCTAATAATATTAGGGCTGCAACTTCTGATTATTTTGCAAATCGAATAATCTGTTGATTACTTTTTCGATTAATCGGATAGCCAAAGGTTCCTTAAAGAAGATTTTTTATAAAAATTAAACCAGGTGAAATTACTTAAAAGTTCTGGATTGAGCATATTGACAGATGAAAAATATTCTTTATATCTTAAATGCAAAATATTTATATATATATTTTTTTCCAGCTTTGGTATAATTACTGCTCTAAGTGGGTCAGCTAAAAGCATGTTTTAGAGTCGCTATGCTCCAGTTTATGATTTAACGATTACTAAATTAGTTGACTATTATTTAAATAATCGATTAATCACGATTAATTGTTTCAGCCCTAAATAATAGTATTCCTCTTTAAAATTAACAACAGTTATATATTATTTTATTTATGAAGGAAAAACGGCTGTCCAAACGGTCCTGGTTCTATGGGATAATGTAATCACTCACTAGACCTAGTAACTGTAGACCCTGTACTAAAAGCAAACACTACAAAAAGAGAAATAGTCTAATTTTCTTCATTTAACTGTCCTTTTCCTTGATTTGAGCAGATAGGAAAGAAAATTTACCAGTAGAATAAGGTGATTTACATTTAAATTAGTTGTTGCACATGATTAAAAATGTTATTATAGTTAATAACAAGGTCTGTAATTAATGAAAATTATTAACATTTTAATTGAAAACCATATATCAACAAACTGAACCTACCTTGGAATTCAAAAATTCCTTGTTGCTCCTCAGTTATTGAATAAATAATCATATAAGCACAGCAACGCATATTTCTTGGAAGTTAAAATAATTTACTTTTATTTAGAAACCTCTGATATTGTGTTATTATAAGTGTAAACAGTCCATGAAAATTCATTATAGATCAGTTACTTCTACTGAATATGGTAAAGAAAATATTCATAGCTACAAGGATTAAAAAAGCCACCTCACCTGGTGTGAGTTAAAACGTTGCATATTGACCTCACTGCGTCCTTAGACTGGTAACTGCACAATCATGTCAGTGGCACAAAAATGACACCATAACCGGATAGCAATAGATTTCTTATGGCGACTGCAGAAGCACGTCCACCATAACTTAGGTATCCGTACCAATCTAAAGGTAATTTGGATGGAGCTCTGGTTTTTAAGCCTGCGTTCCATCAGTGGACCAACACCTGTGATCCTGAGACACAGACAGTACAGAGTTCCCGGCTGGAACTTTAGTATTTTTATAAGAACATGCAATTAATTGCGTTTTTTTTAATGCATAAAAAAAGGTTCAGATTAACTAATCGAAATTAACGTGTTAAAGTCCCTGCCCTAGATTAAAGTAGAAAACAAAAACTCCCACTCATTTTTTTTCTAGTGGGTAATTTCTGATCATCTTATTTTAAGAGCAAAAATACTGATTCCTTTAACAGATAATCTTATTTACCTGCTTATTTTAAGGGAAAATACATGTATTTTAAGAATTGGCAGATGTTTAGATCAGTTTTTGCAGTGTAATAATTAATCTATATTATTTTAATGATTACATGCACTGGCAGAAGAGACTGGAAATCATCTTTTGGACCATTTCAATATTTCTCCTTTACAATTTACCTTAACAGTTATTTAGAAGGGACAGTCAGTTTTGAACCCCAGCCGTATTGAGATACGATCACAGTCGTCATCTGTTAGATCAGGAGTCTGCAGCCGTGGCTTTGTGGCTCACTTAACGTCCTAAACGATGTGCCCTAGCGTTGACCTTGGGAAACCATGTTTTTTCTGCCTTCTTGGTTAAGAATGAACGTTTAACTAAACTAATGTGTTTAGAGCTGCAGTGCTGCCAAGGCAGGTCAGTATTATTTTTATGAGTTTTGTGACCTCTAGGAGTAAGTACAACAGACTGGCCACTTATTGAAATCTTGGTCTGTTTTCTCCATTTGTAGATATTGTTCTCATGGTTGTTCTGTTTTTTTTTTTTTTTACATTCTGAGTGCCACATGTTTACACTCTTAGACACTTCCTTCTTTGGCTGCTTAGATGTTCTCTAACCATCCTCAGTGCCAACATATGATATCAATTTTTAGTAACTATGATGCTAAGGCCCCTAGAAGTGGTAATAATCTAAAAAAGGAGAAAGGAGTCAGATGTGGGTTAAATGTCAGTGGTATCGTCATTTCAACGTTTGGAATTAATATGTTAGATTGTGTGCTTCAGGTCTTTTTCAGCTAGATATACAGCCTGCTATTGTTTTTATTTGAGTAATATGGCAGTCTGGCCACATCACTGCTAGTCTGCAGCTCCAGCAGCAACATGGCCTCAGCGTGGCTCAGGAAATTAAAATCAGCTGCACCAAAACTGGGTAATGGCCTGATTAAATGATTATTGCTACATAGAGGAAGCCTGGATTAAATAGCATTTTTTTCCTTAATAAAGTTAGTCCTGTTCAGCATTCCAGTTTCTTTATGTTAAAATAATATTGGTGGATCAAAGAGCAACAGAAATCTATTAGGGTTGGGCCACATTATGCTAAGTCTGTTTAGCACACAGAGGTTGATTTAAACCTGATACAGGGTAATTTTTAGATTTGGATGCATGGAATGCAGCTGCTGACATTGATGTCTCTCAAAGTTTTTTTTTTTTTTTTTAACATCCCCAATACTTTTTTGAATTATCTTTCCAGCCTTCTGGTGAAGAGGACGCCGAGGAGTTCGGGCTACAGACCAGACTGTGAGCATCTCTTTAGTTGCTTACATGCAGCAGTGCAGAATGATGCCATTCATTTCATGCCTATCGCTCATTCCTACATTTTGTTCTTTAGTAAAAGCAAGATAGTTGCTTGTTTAAGAAAAAAAAATATGTTTGGATAATAAGTCATGGCTGCTTACACCCAGTTTGCAGAGTCTGTGATTATGTAAGGCTTTTAGGTTTGAGTGCGATAATCGCTTTAAGATTGCCCCTCAATAAAAGCTGTTACTGTAAGTGTTTTTTTTTTTTATAACTCCGCTAATGCCTTACTGACAGCTTAATCATAGCCTTGCAGAGGCAGTAGGAGACTGATTGTTTCTACACTACAGAGTCAATTAGACTAAATGTCTGATCATTTTACCCCCCTACACCAGACAGCCATGGTTCTTTAAATAACCGTCAGTAAGGGTTTCTATATTTATTTCAGACATTGGTTTTGAAGTACCAGATGCCTTCCTGGTGGGCTACGCTTTGGACTACAATGAGTACTTCAGAGATCTCAGTGTAAGTGATGTTAAAACTGATATCCAGATTTAACTGTGCTCCATTTCTGTGCATTTTAACTGCATGAATACATGAAATACTAGATTTTTTTTCATATTTAAAGAGATAGTGACCCATGTTGGAGTTTTAAGTCTGTAGTCAAAACAAAAAAATACAAAGATTTCATACTTTATTTAGATTTGTGCTCCTAATATTTAAGACTTAGATTTATTGTATGGGACTTAAAGGTATAGTGGAGGATTTTCACAACTTTTTGAAAAGACCCGCCCTCTCCAATTAAAAAAAAAAAAGCACATGCACAACCCTGTACCACTCCCAAGAGTGAATGCCTATTAAAGGCGTGCTAGAGTATGGAGAAGCCCATTTCTACTCCTGCACGCTCTGTTTAAAAGTTGCTGTTTTCATCGCTCATACAAGCTTACTTTCCAAAAGAGCATTTGCAATTTTTCCACCATCTCACCACTGCAAAGGAAAATGGGGACGAGCATGTAGCTCATGCATTGAAGAAGTCAGCATCACAAAGAACATTACCACCCGGGCCAAGCAACGACTCTGGATGAATGGGAAGGTTTGGAAATCACTAAAAGCATGGAACTTGACTTTCAAGTCTGGTGACAGAGAGGCACTGAGGACAGAGTGTACCAACTAGAACCGTGCCATCAGATCAAAGCAAAACCACAGCTGGAAGATCCAGGATCTCTTCCATGATGCCAGCAACACCAGGAGGATGTGGAAAGGCATACGGGCAAACACAACCTACAACACACCCTCACCCCCGGTAGATGCAGCAAATGCTGACTTCCTAAATGAACTAAATTCTTTGGTTTTAGGCACTAAACGGCACCCCATCAGTGAAAGCCGTTCCACACCGGGGGAGGAGGCACTCAACCTTGACATAGCTGAAGTGAGGAAAACTCTGTGGAGAGTCAACCCAAGAAAGGCTCCAGGCCCCGATAACATACCTGGATGGGTGTACAAGGAAGGTGCAGGACAGCTGGTGGGTGTCCTCACAGACATTTTTAACACCTCACTGGAGCAATCCATAGTGCCAGCATGCTTTAAGTCTGCCACCATCATTCTGGTTCCAAAGAAGCCTCAGGTCACCTCACTAAATGATTACCAGCCTGTCGCACTCCAATGATGAGGAAGTGCTTTGAAAGGCTGTTTAAAGCATCATCTCCAGTCTGCCGCCAACATTCGACCCGTTCCAGTTTGCCTACCGACGAAACCGCTCCACTGAGGACGCCATCTCTGCTGCTCTCCACCTGAGCCTAGCACAACCGCATGAGAAGAACACCCACGTGCGGATGCTATTCCTGGACTTCAGTTCAGCTTTCAACACCATCATTGCACAACATCTGATGGGCAACCTGGAACAGCTGGGCTTCAATGCACCCCTCTGCAATTGGCTTCTTGACTTCCTCACCAACAGACCTCAGTCAGTCGGGGTCGGATAGAACACCTCTGATGTCATCACCCTAAGCACAGGCCCCACTCAGGGCTGTGTCCTGAGCCCCCTGCTGTTCACTCTAATGACACACGACTGTGTCTCCAAGTTCACCACAAATCACATTGTGCATTTTGCGCAAGACACCATGCTGCTCCACCTCCTACAGAGAGGAGGTGGAGCAGGTAATGGGCTGATGCAGAGATAACAGCCTGATCCTGAATGTAGAGAAAATAAAGTAGATCCTGTTGGACTTCAGGAAGAGCCGGCCTAACCACGCTCCACTGCTCATCAACAGCTCAGCTGTAAAGATGGTCAGCAGCACCAAATTGCTGGGGGTGCACATCACAGACACCCTCACCTGGACTGTAAACACCACCTCACTGATCAGAACGGCACAAATGCGCTTGTACGTCCTGCGGAGGATGAGGAGAGCCCACCTGCCCCCACCCATCCTCACCACCTTCCACAGAAGCACCATAGAGAGCGTTCTGACCAGCTGTCTCACTGTGTGGTGTGGAGGCTGTAGCGCCTCAGATAGGAAGTAGGTTAGGAGAGTAGTATGAACAGCAGAGAGGATCATCGGGGCTCCTCCTCCCCCCATAAAAGACATTTCATCGTGTCCCAAGCCTGTAACATCATCAATGACCCCTCACAGCCCCACCATGGACTGTTCTCCCTGCTGCCCTCTGGGAAGAAGCTTCACAGTATTTAATGCAGGTCCAACAGATTCTGTAACCGCTTCTTCCCCGTTGCCATCAGACTATTGAACTGTTGAGAAAACTCTTAATCATGTCACTTAATCTGCATCACACTGATAACACAAACCCAAAACTTTGCATATTCACACCATACATATATAATGCTCTGAACTTCCATATCAATGTGATTTTTTTTGTTTTTGCACCATGTTTTTTCTCCCACACTCTTTACATTTGATCACTGCTCCACTCCTCCACTGTATTTACTATAAGTCTGAGTAATCCGGATCTTAAGTAACAGCCTACAGCTCTAAGAGATAAGGCACATATTATGTGAGCAGTCATTAGTTCACTATGTATATTGGCTGTAGTAGCAATCCTTTCATATCGGCTGTAGTTCATCAAAAACTGAAATTTAAAGACATTTTAAGTCATTTCAGTACAAAATAAAATTAACTTTGCTCTTATTAACATAAAAATGTTGCCGCTAAATAACCACCGCGCATCAAAGAAGCTTTAATAACCCTTCGTTTAGTTTTGAGTTGCTTTTATAGTTAATGTCTCACGTAGTCACATTCTCTCTGATAGGATTGCACAACAGTCCCTGTGCTGCTTAGGAAGTCTGCCTCTAGATCAAGGCTCTTGCTGCCTCCCTTTTCAATGAGGCTGCAGTCTAAAACAGCGAAGTGGTGTAATATTAGCAAATGGAGAAATTCATAGGTCGGACAGCTGAATGACATCGAGAGCGCTGCGATGGATGCAGTCAAGGACGCCTGTTGGAGGGGAATCACAAGCTGATGAAGTGAAATACTTTCATATGTTCACTGTTTTCATCACTGTAGTTTAAATACATGCTGTTAATTCATGGTACACACATGATACCTGATAGGACTACAGGCTAAAGGTGTGAGAACATTTTTAATGGAAACTGATTGAAAATATGTAAATATAACAATCATTTGGAACTTGAACCCTCAGTCATTTTTTGAAATGATTGAAAATAAGCAGGAACTCTCTCCAGACTATTTCCATTTGTTGTGATGTTTTTTTTGTTTTTATTTTGCAGCATATCTGTATACTGAACGATCAAGCCAAGGAGAAGTACAAAGTATGAGTTCAAAGCGTGGCTGATGTGACGCCCTGAAGACTTGGACCACTGTGATGGGCCCTGCTTAGCTTTATTGTGTTTTTGGATCTTATTTATTTTTCTACATGACAATCCACATGTTATCTGTGGTTGGTTACGGACCTGAAGAAGAAAGTTTCTCCCTGACTTTATTAAAAACTGGGAGTAAATATGTATATATTTTTCTTAAATTTTAATTATTTCTCTTATTTAAGAATTTAAGTTGTGTTTTAGTAAGGAAGAGGAAATATTGTCTTAAATCTCTCAGGCTCTATGCTCAGTGAGCTGTTTGTACCCTTTAACCAGAGAGTTTTTTGTTGTTTCAATTAATACTAAAAAAATCTTCCATACATTTATTTGCAATATTATATTTGTTATTTAGTGGTTGATGTATCCATTGAGGACCAGTTTACAGCAATACAACTCTAATTAAACCATGAATCCTTGCTTCTGTCATTTATTTTTTTAGTCCCCAGGTTCCCATTTTCTGAGCTAAATGTGTGACTCTGTGTTCACTTTATTTATATTTTGTCTATTATAAAGTTAACGGTAGATACACTGTATAAAAGACTAAGACTACCAATTAATAGGATTTTTTCTAGCTTTATGATGCTCACGATTAGCTACATTATTTCAGCTTTCAAATAGAGGCTAACATACATTTTCTTACTATTTTGCCAAATGACCTCTTGGACTATGATTTAGGTCAGATGTTTTGCATGACCTTCCTCCATCTTGTCATAACAGTTTGATTTAATTTGATCCAATTCCCAGAACTGTGTTGCCTGCGTTTCTTACACAGATCATTTAAGCTCTGCCAACAAATTTTCTGAGACAGATTGGAGATGAGATCATCAGACCAGAATCCTTATTCCATTTTTAAACTAATTTGGCTGAGTGCGTAGGGTCGGTGGCTGTTCACAAGATCAATTAGTAATAAAGCTTTAACTCCCTGTTTGAGTATACTTCCAGCAGCAAAACATGAACTATGCAGAGAGCAGCAAGGGAGATGAGTGGATAGACGGATTTATTATGAACTACTTTAAAACTGAGCAGAATAACAAAAACTTGGATTAAAATATATTCTTTCAGTGTAAATTAATGAAATTTGAAGTACATTTAAAGCTCCTTCTGTCTGTTCTGTTTCCCTAGACTCAGCAATTACATTCAGTGGCCAACTACTAAGCTGATACAAAACAAATGTAAATGACCTTTTATTGTTATTAAAAAAGTATTGAGCTAAATTTTATGGAGTTGTGTTTATATTTAAAAAAGTGACCGAAAATAACTTTTAAAGTAAGATAAATATATAATTACACTAATAGCATAAGCTGATGTTAACTAAAGAAAAAGTTTTGACCAAAAGTTTTCATTTAATAAATAAAAGGTTATATATATATATATATATATATATATATATATATATATATATATATATATATAATAATTATTTTTTTTTTGCAATCAGACTGAAAAAATGTTCTCCATGGGCCTGTGAGTTCCTTCCGTACCTATTGGCTCAGCAGAATTGACAACTGAGTGATGATGCTTGGTGCGTTCGAGATGAGCAGCGCCTCGTGGACGAGAGTTTATGCGTGTTTTGATGAGCTGTCTGCAACTGAACGGGTTGACTGGAATCACGTTTTTATTTTTGAACTTACTGGTGGAAAATACACACTAAAACACTTAGAAAACAATAAAGCCGTAGGCTCTCATCCACAGTCTAGGCTAGACGCAGTTAAACTCGGACACACCTGCTGGTGGAGCGAGGCAGTTCTCTAATATATTTATTTTTCCTTTAAAATAAGCGTTCCATTTTTATAGTTTAAATAAATCATTGGTTGGCAAGTATTTCTCTGCTTCAAATCTATCTAATTCCCTTGTTATATGTATTTGTTTCTTTTAGTTTCATATAAAAGCGCCTCATGGTTTGTTCGTGAGCATTTGCCACCCACAATATGGTGGCCGCTCATGCGTTTTCCTTTTTTTTTTTCCAAGAAGCGGCGTCGACCTAGTACCAGTGTGCTCTAATTCCATTGGTTTCTATCAATTGGTGACGTCAGCACCGTACCTTTCCTTGGTTGGTTGCTTGTATAAGAATAAGGCTGGTCTTTCGGAAAAAGAACCAATTACCGTTAACTACGCACACATAGCTTCTGGATCACCTTCCGGGATTACTTTTCGTTGCTATCTTCTACCATGAACAAAAGTTGCCTGTGAGGTAAATCACTACCTTCTCTCCTTTGATTTTTTTAATGAAAAATAAACATAGAAGGGCATGTTTTCTGTGTTACAGAAATTGAAAAAAATCGTGACAATTCGTAAAGTTTTAATGTATGGCACAACTATGCTTCTAAAAGAGGAGGCAGTAGCCACATTAAAGCAGTTTGACATTGGAGAGAAATTCTCGTATCTCCCCGTCCTGCCTAAAGCCTCAGTGCTGATCCCCCTGTTTGTGAGGGGTGGTCAGCTTCACACCTTACTCACTCTACGCTCACAGGAGGTAACATACATAAATGACCTATCTGTGCTGGATAAATGCTGGCTTTCACTCTGAGCTTTAATTGAGACTCTCTTTCCCATCTGTAGTTGAGGACTGGTGCTGGTGAGGTGTGTTTTCCCGGTGGAAAGAGAGACCCTAGTGACCAGGATGATGTCCACACAGCCCTGAGAGAGGCACACGAGGAGATAGGTCTACCTCCTGATCAGGTTGAGGTGGTCTGCACATTGTTTCCAGTCTTTAGCAAGGTAAGGTACTTGATGCACTTTTTCTCAGAGTTTAAGCTCCATCATTTCTTCACAGACCTTCATGTTTTTCAACAGAAAGGCCTATTGGTGAGCCCTGTGGTCGGTTTCATAGAGGAAACATTTATTCCAGCCCTAAACCCATCAGAGGTCAGTGCTGTGTTTGCGGTTCCCCTGGACTTTTTCACCAGAGAGAAGGATCACTATGCTACCCACGGTGTTGCCGGGGTGACTGGACCATTGCACTCATTTTACTTCAGAGATCCTGCTTCAGGGAACCAGTATCACATATGGGGGCTGACAGCAATGTTGGCAACGTTGGTGGGTGCTCTTGCTCTAAAGAAAAAACCTGAGTTTAATGTTGGTTTTGATATTTTGGATCCTTTCACCTTTTTCAAGAAGATTCTGCATAAAAGACTGAGTAAACTTTGAGCAGCTGTGATTGTCCTGAACTCTTGTATCCAGGGTGAAATGTGAAAGACAACTTTTAAGCAATATGTTTAAAATGAAGGTAAAACTGATTTGTGCTTCTACTGTCACTAGTAAATATCTCAATACTGTCAGATTTTAAGATTGGAGTCCACTTTTTTTTGTTTCAGTGACAAACACTAAAATGAGTTGGATGCAGAAGCATGGATTTTTAATGCTTCACTTCACAAAAAAAGTTCTTAAAACACACACTGATGTAGTTAAGCTCATGTGGGTTGATGACTTAACTAGGATGAGTGAACACTGGAACATGCAAGCAGCTTTAGATGGACAACAGACAACATATTTTAAAGCTCATCAGATTGTTTTCTTTACCTCTATCATATATATATGCATACACCAATAAGGGCTGAAACTATTAAGATTAATTATTGAAATAAAAGCCAACTAATTTCATAATCGATTAATAGTTAAATGAAGTATAGGTTTTATAGCATACCTTTGGCTGACAGAGTGACCTACTTTCACGAGTACCTTTACCAGAATTGTAAAAAATACGTCCATTAATATGCTCCATCCAGAACTTGATTGGAAAGATTTCAGTTTCACCTGGTTTAAATTCAATAACTAAATTTCCTTTCGCAATCCGATTAAAGGAAAAATATTTATTTTTGTCATAAACTCATACATTTCAAAAACTGCACAATATTCAAAAGCAAACCCAATAGTTGATCGAAGCAATATATAGCCATATTAAGCTGTTGGAATCATTTATAGTATAAATCTATAAATACTTAATATTTAGTATTTTGGTTCCGACCAGATCTGTATGTAACGGACCGCTCCAGGACAATGACACCATAGTCCTGATGTTCTTGGCTTTGTTTTAGAACCAGCAGGCCATCAATCAGTTTCTGGTTGAGTAAATCCAAGGATAGAGCTGTGAAGCTGCTGCTGTTCACCTACTAGTATACTTTGGGTATTTATCTGGCTGAAACATTTAATTCAGGGGGATTTCTTCTTTGGCATATGACCTCTTCAAGTAATTTATTTAAGAAAACCAAGATATAAGTTGTCCTTGGATTTAGGGTCATTATTGAACTCAGGTTTCAAACTCCAGCTTTTAAGGCTACAGTTTCAACTTTTAGCTCTGCCTCTGCTTAATCTTTGGGAAACCTGACCGATCTTTGAAGATAAATGCTTTCACAAACTGATCCATCTCTTTGTTTTAAGAACAATTGCCCTCAAAAGGATCTGATTTCTGGGACAGTAATTTATTTTCACAATAAATTATTTCCAACAAAGCTAATGGAGAGTTGTTAATAACAGTAAAATGCATCTGGGATAGATCATATAGGGTGAACAAAAGAAAATAAGACATTTAGATTTTTATTAATTCATTTAATGTAGCAGCAGGATTACAGATATAAACAGAAGAGTATACAAATGTCCAGACAAAGGCAAAGAACATGTTTAATAATAGTTCAAATGTATAACACGCTGGGTTGACCTTTATCCTTACTGCAGGGTCTTAAGGCTAAGATACTAAAGCTCAAGCTACACGAAACCGATACAACAGAACCGTCGAAGGATGTGAAGTAGAAAGCAAACTAGGAGAAGTGAGCAAATCGGTTATGCACAAGATACAGCTCACACTATTGGCAAACGGTTACCTTATCATGGCTGCCCCTTTTGATCGAGCGTTTCACATCAACGAATGTTGACAAGCACACCAACACCAGGACGTTTTCTACAAAAACAATCGCCACTGTCTTGTCCCTTTTACCTCACATGTACAAATCTCATGAGGCGTGAAAAACCTCAAATGAAAACCAAAAGCGCATGAAAGATGCGCTATATTCTGGAAATAAACAAACATACAAAATCACTAAAATTAGAAAATAAAATACAACGGTATGAGCTTTGTTGATGGGTGCTGAAATTATTTATGTCACAAGGGTCCGAGAGGATAAAAAGGACAAGGAGTTAGGACACAAAAGGGACGCCAGTAAACACAGCAGAGCAATGGTTAATTTGTCAAGGCACACAAAGTTCTGTTGAAAAGCATCACAATTGAAATTCAAGATACCCCTGCAGTGTATTTCACATTTAAATATACATGGATATTCACCTACATGTGACTGAAGGGACGAAAAAAAAAAAAGAAAAAACAAAACAGACAAAATGTAAAGATGTATGTGCTGTCTCTTCGCCACCTTCTGATTCAATGTTTACCAGGGTTCTTCATTTTCAGGTGGAAGTAAACCAGGTTACTGGAAAATGTTAAGGACTGGACATGAAACCAAACCATAATCCAATGACAGCTGATGCCACGCCCACTTCTATTCTCTGTGCCTCAAATAATAAAACAAACAAAACAAATCTGTGAAACGTTAATTGGTCCGATGTTAGATGTAGACCAAGCCAGGTGTCCACACCATGAGGTAAAATTTACATTCATGAAAGCGAAGTCACAGGTTGGCTTTCTGTGTTGGTATGGCTTTAAGAGGCATTAACCTTTCCAGGGTTCTTCCACTACGCTGTGTGCTCTTTTTTTTTTTTTCATCTCCTCTGACCGAGAGGAAGGGAATGCTTGGAGACGCGTGACTGAGCTCTAACCTGATCTACAGTAAAACGGATGAGTCAAAGTGCCATTTGAGATGCATGACATGAAAACAGTTTAAAAACTAAAGATGTAAAAAAAAAAAAAAAAGATTTGCCCATACATCCTCATGTTTGTACAGTTTGGGTAAAATCAATAACGATGTCCACTTGATTATATTTCTCAACTTTAAACAGTTCACAGTAAACCTGCGCTTCATCTCAAGAAAAGCACACTCTCTATGATATCTCCTGTGCTATGAGCATAAACAAAACAAAAAAAAAACAAACAAAAAAAGCTTTGTTTTTACAAAAATACTCTACCCTTTGATACATGGATACAAAATTTAAAAAAAGATAAGTTACTTTAAAATGGATCCCTAACAGCTGCAGGACAAGAGCATGACTATGAAAATGTAAACAAATGAGTTTATGACCAATGCTATGCTAACATCTGAATATTTAGAAATTGGCTTTTTGATTATGCCAAATTGGCTGCTTTTAAATATGGAAAGAACAGCAGTGACAATATACATGGAAAAAAAAAAAATCAGGGTTCCCAAACAATAGCTGTGTAAAAATTCCAGACTGATCTTTTTAAAATATGAATGTTTTGTGTTTATGGTGGGTAGGATTTAAAACCAGAGGGAAGAGGAGATCAGAAGAAAAAAAATGCACTAGGCAGTTAGGATTGGAGATAGGATTAATGAAAGGGAGACTGAGGACGGATACAGAGAAGAACCTAAAGACAGAAACTATATGCAAGTAAGAAGGAACACAAATAAAGTCTGGAAATATCCACATTTTCTAAACAGATCTGGAAAATTCAGAAATCAAATTTCCTTCTTATCCAGACTGTGTAGGAACCCTGAGTCATGAACTGTATCAAACTGGTGAAGAGTACCTTTTTTTTTTCCTTCCATTTGTAAATCTGCTGAATTGCTTTCCACAGGAGAGCTGCATTCATCTGTAAAAACGAGTAAACACGAGGGCATCCACGAGGACGAGCATGAGACGGGATGGCGACGAATCACAACAGGAGCTTTGGTACGCCTTGCTTCGCTCCAGTCAGAACCCACAACAAACAGCCAGCTCTGTGGACTCAACTTTGCTGCAAAGATTAAAAGTAAAGCCAGCGCTATTAGAAACGGTTAACGTCACAGCTGAGGTGCCTGTAACTCCGGTACATAGCACCATAGATAAAATCTAAACTCTGGCTTCTGAGTAACAGCGAGCCCTCGCTCAATATGAAAGAGACGAGTCATAAAACTTCATCTGGTGCCACTCTACACGCAAACAAGACATAGTATAACCATCTACAGTGAATCGGTAAAAAAAAAAAAAAGTAAACGGTATCCTTCATTTCAAAGTAAAATAATATTTTAGATGAATAGGTTTGGTGTAAAACAAAAATAAGAAGAAAGGCCCACTGAACCACTCAGTGACAAATCACAACGCTCTAATGGAAATGGCTGCTTCTGGACCACTGAGACTGAACACAAGCATTTGACAGCAAGTTGGCTTTCTATACAACGCTATCAACGAAAACAGACCAGAAGATATGATAAAATGTGAAAAAACACGACTGATTTAAATGTATTCATAACTACAAAGACGTTTTTTTTTTTCTTCTCATGTACAAATTCAGCTTGTTCCTTACAGAGCTGCGGATGGGCGGATAATCAGGAGCAGGTTACACAAAAAGGTTATAAAGTGCTTGAGATAAAATGTCTATAAAACCACACAACACTCTTTTTTTTTATTCTCTTTTTTTCTCCACTAGTGGAAAGCTGCTTTCTGTCGACAATTAAATGGTAAAAGGTTACCTGCACATTTAAATGGGAAACAAAAAACAAAAAAAAATCACAAAAACTAACAAACTGAAAAATGACACAAAAATGAATGCTGTTGAAATTCACCAAAGAAGCTTTGCTAGACCCAACGATGAGCCTAAACGGGAAAACACTGCGTGGTGACGGCAAAACCAGCCGCTCGGTCACATCGTTTAACAGGCTGAATCTCATTTGTAGTTGTAAAATATTATATACAAACTTTTATGTTTAGAATAACCATGAGTTGGTTAGAGGTAATGGGGTATAATATATTGAAAATAAATAAATAAATGAAAGCAACAGAGTGGGACTAATTACCTTTATTAAGTAACGCTAAATTATAATTCAAGCTGGCAGCTTCATGTCTGGTAAGCAGCTGCAGGCTAGCTAATGGGTTGGTTGAATTTTTCACTGGAAAATGAAATAATTTAAAGATAAATAGATCAAATGAACCAGTATTATTAATGGTCAATTTATGTTTTCGATTTTAACAAGAAGCCATCATTCAGTGGCGTTATTCATCTATTCATTACAGGCCCTCGCCTGTTTTTAAGGAGTACAGCTGATAGCATTGTTCTTCTATCCTCCCTCAGAGATTAAATTCATGCCAGCAAATGTTTAGAGGCATCGTTATTCTACAAAGAATGCACTTTATTTCACCTGAATTTGTAGGGGAGGGACTGCCGTCATGTGAATCCAAGGTTTAAGAGAAACAGAAGTCTGTATAGCCAGAAAATATCAAAGATAAAATGTTCTTTTTTACCTTTTTTTTTTTTTTTTAAACCCTGGTTATATGAAGGATTTACAGTCACAAAATGAGATTCAGCTGTTAACCTGCGCATCAATGGAATCTGATATTCTGTTCCTGCTCTGTTCCCAAGTGACCACAATCTCCCGTCAAGCCTTTCTGGTTCCTTCTCCCGCACAAAGCAGGTTTGTAGCATAATCTCTGAGGCTCACAATATCTGAGTACGGCAAAAAAACACTGCATTTTTTCTTCTTTTTTTTTTTTAGGATTAATTCATCAAGCAGTTACGCCGGGCCTCATTAATTTGCAAGATGGATAATTACAAAAGGCGGAATCAACAATTTGAGAGCAATGAATGCACACTAAAATGAAAAATTAATAATGATGACCTTTTAAAAATGATGTCAAAGCTCATATTTTGGGTTTTTAGTAAAAGAGCAAATTGTTATTAAATATTTAGATTTTCTTGTTGTTGTTTTCATGGCATCGGCACAAAAACCAAGACGCCACTTTTGCCGATTTAACTTTTAGCTACACGTCTGTCCAAACGAGTCTCAATGCTTCTGCAGACTTTCCAATATGTCCTCGATTTTATCCATGCCCGACGTTGCAGAAATCGTTGCCTGCATCTGATTCTGTATCTGGGACTGCAGACTGGTCTGCATTGGAGTTTGGCTGTTGGACTGCAGTGCATTTTCTAGACTGGTTTGCATTTGTGCCTGAATGGTGTTTTGCAGATTGCTGTGCATGCCGGAGGCAGCCTGGGCCATGGGCTGATCCAACAGAGGCTGCATGTGACCAGAGCTCTGGGCTTGTGTCTGAGCAGACAGGTTCGGTCCAGAAGAAGTGAGTATCTGGGATGAGTCTAAAGGGTAGAGAAAATAGTTACATTTACAATCAATAGCAGATAAATTAAACCATATTACGCGTCAGAGCAAATATATTTACCACCTAAAACTTCAGAGTTCAGCTCCAGTCCTAATGTAAATTAATAAAATGTCAGGTGTTGGCTGTTATGTATGTGATATACGTGTCTGGAGGTTTCGGTCATACAGATAGAGCTGCTATTCAGTCCTTTAGACAAAAATCTTTAGTTTGATGCAAGACATCAGGGGAAATTAGTAAACGGTTTATTCCAAATATTTGTTCTAAAAATTTTATTTTAGACATATTCTAAATGTATTATTTATTACACAATCAAGTGTTGAAATCAGGAAGAGTAACTATAATAAAGATACAGTGACTGGTTTGAAGTTAACCAATCAGATGTTATGGTCTGTTTAACAGGATAAATTGACCATTTAAACTATGATGTTCAATAGTAAAACATATTTCATTCAATATTTTTAAATATAGAAAGGTCTTTTTTTAATTTTAAATTCATGGATAGGAAGACCAAAAGAAACCACACAACTGTGCATGTTGCATTTATTATTTTATATTATTTAATATTTAGTAAAAAAATGCCAGATTTCCAGTGTTGCCAACTTACCGCTTTTCTTACTAAATCTAGCACCTTTTCAGACCCCCCAGTGCCTTTTTTTCATAAAGGTGCCCAGCACCAAACCTAACGACTTTTTCTCTGTATTAATGCTTAATCTTAGTAGATATAAAAGCACTGAACTCTTTGTTTCTGCATGAGACGTCATAAGCCTCCCTCCCTCTCTAGCTTTCTCTCATTGTCCGCCGTCATGCAGAACAGGCTGCCTGCGCTGCAGCAGAGTGTAAACCTTTCCAATTTAAATCCAGATTGCAAATGAAATGTGCATATGCTGCTAATCCCTCACTAGAATGCAAAATTAAGACATGAAAAGAATTTTTAACTGACACAATTGTCTCACATAAAATAATTGCACTTTCAAACCACAGCCTCATTCTCTCCCCTTCTGCTCCTCCAGTCTCCATGTGTCTTTGCACTGCTGCTCCTTTCCTCTTCATGTTTGATTTATTTTTTTTGCTAGATGATTGCTGAATTATCTGTATTTTTCTTTGCTTGTTTTTGTAAAGGTATTTGTAAAACTGTTAAAATCCCCTAGTTTCTTCCTGTCATCACCTGATGGTGATGACGTCATATAGCGCCTTTTAGGACAGCCAATAGCGACTTTTCCTGCTGAGAAGTTGGAAACACTGCAGATTTCTGCATTTTTTATCATAGATTTGGTGTGAAAAAAACCTCAAAGAGGTCAGGAAGCTTCTGATAGCCACTAGTTTACAGACCTGAACCCTTTAGATAACCTGTGAGGTGAACTAAAGACTGGGCTCCTTTATGCTCCCTCCATTTATTTCACCACAGGTAAATTGGACAAAAATATTTCTAATAACTTTTTTCTAAAATGGCTCAATTATCCACTCAAATTTAATTTAAATCATTGAATATTGTTTTCAACTATTCTAAAATGAACAGAGCATCTTGTTAAAGGAAATACAATGACTTTTAAACCTCAAATTAAAAGAAGCTCCATTTGTTTCTAAAATGAAAATCAATCAAAATTAAAATCATCTTACCGTTCTGAAGGCCAAACACAAACAGGTTGGGCTGTCCTTGTTGGGCTACATTACCGCCCACTGTGGTCTGGAAAAGCTGCTCTGGCGGCTGCTGACCCGGGCTGGCGACCATGCCGACGCCACCCTGGACTACAAAGATGGTCGCAGCGGGAGCTGCAGCTTCGTTGTTCAGCTCCTGAGAGCCGATAGTTCCCTGCAAGCCTGACAGCGACGTCTGTGGTATGAACAGCTTGACCGGCTGACTGCTGGGGACCTGGCTGGGGCTTGGAGTCACCTGCATTGGCTGCTGCTCCTGGAACAGGTTCTGCTGTTGGTTTGCAGTGGGAGTGGAGTTGTTCCCTGAGGAGCTCTGGACTTGGAAAGACATGGGCTCTGCCGTGTCTTGTTGGGGGATTCCAACACTAATGCTTCCGATGGCGGGAGCCGCTTGGGTTGGGGTGCTGAACAGGATAGTCTGCGAGTTGAGATCTGTTGTACAGAGAAGCAGGCCTGTCTGTTGGGGCTGGGAGATCTGGTTTTGGGGAACAGGGTTTGCCGGTGAGTGGTTTGGGATGTTCTGGAACAAGGAGCCCTGCTGGCCCATTGGAAGCTGCTGTGGCTGCTGTTGGTTCTGCTGTGGAGATTGCTGCTGCTCCATTGGGGTGTTCTGTGACTGCAGCTGGGAAAGCTGGGTTGGTGGTTGATTCTGGAACATCGACACAGACTGGGGCTGGCTAGATGAGGTCTCCATGGAGGAGATGAAGGCCAGCTGGGGCTGCTGCTGCTGAGGCTGAGGGTTGGTGGATAAAAATAGGGTGGAGCCGGTGGACTGCTGCTCTGAGCTCAGACCCCCACCAGAGAGGACCGTCAACGTGTTCTGAAGCAGCGCAGCCTGAACCTGCTGCTGCGAGCTCTGGGTCTCAGCCAGCGGCTGGGGTGACTGGAAGAGCTGCTGGGGTGGAGATGTGTGGGACGGAGGCTGTGTGGGGAAGCTGGTCTGGATGGTGAGCAGCTCCCCCGCCTGCTGCAGAAGGGAGACGGGCTGTTGTGGTTGGGCAGGGGAGTGAATCTGGGGCTGGAGCAGCTCAGCTTGCAGGTGCTGCTGCAGCTTCTCCAAGACCTGCTGCTGCTCCTGCTGCTGTTGCTGCTGCAGCTGATGTTGCTGCAAATTGCTCAGAATCTGGTTCTGCTGTTGCTGATCCTGGAGCTGAATGTTGTTCAGGACTTGCTGTTGCTGATTCTGTTGCTGCTGAATATTCTCCATGATCTGCTGCTGCTGCTGCTGCAGCTGCTGTTGGTCTCGAGGCTGTAACAGGAGCTGTTGTTGGATCTGCATGTTGCTGAGGACCTGCTGCTGTTGCTGCTGCAGTTGCTGCTGCTGCTGTTGCTGCAGGTTCTCGAGGATTTGTTGCTGTTGCTGAAACTGCTGTTGTATTTGTTGTTGCTGCTGCTGGATTTGTATCTGTTGCTGCTGCTGCTGTTGTTGCATTTGTATCTGTTGCTGTGCAGAAAGTGAATTATCAGACCCCCCCAACCGCAGGCTGTTCATGTTCTCCTGGACGTGCTGCTGTAGGGACTCTGCAGAGGGTGTGGGGCTGTAAAGCACAGAGTTAAGCTGCTGCTGGGCCACAGCCACCTCCAGTACATGTTCGAGGGTGGCGTTACCTCCGGCCTGCAACTCCCTAACGGCCCGCTCCAACTGGGCCACGCCTTCCTGGGGAAAGAGGGTGACCTGTGACTGCTGCGGCTGTGGCTGAGCAGCAGCTGCTATTTGAGGCATGGCGACGACCACAATCGTTCCACTATTCTCAGAGCTCTCAGGAGACAGGCTTTCTTGAGGGTCTCTGAGGAACTGCTGAGGAACCTCTGCTGTAACTGGGGGTATTGTTGTGTCTCCTGATACAGGGAAGGATGTGGTGGAAGAGATCTCTTGCTTTTGGATGGTGCTGAGAGACTCCAGGCTAGGGAAGACAGGGGGCGCCTGGGCAAGCTCAACATCTTCAGGCTGTAGGGGCATCGGGCTCTCGAAAGCCTCTCCTCCTGGATGTGGACTAGAATTGAGCTCCAGAGTCTGCTGCACTGAAATCAAAGCATCGCTGGACGGCTGAGGAAGTGAGGAGGGGAAAACTTATTACTAAGTGTGTTCATAACTGGATAAAATGAATGTTTAAAACCAAAAATCTCTTACTTTGAAAACATCTGTGGATTGGGGGTTGCTAGACACCTCCATAGGTGTGTCCTCCTGCCGTTTGGAAGGCTGGTCAGAGCATTCACTTTGCTCAGACGGCACAGATTTGATTTGGCCGTCAAATATGCAGGAGGTGACCAGGGTGGATCCTTCTGTTTTCACAGCCTGGCCATTTGAGTTATCTACTGAGGAGTGAAAACATTAGACAGTCTGCTAAAGAAACACAGAAGCAGTCCGTGTCTTCATGGCTGACATGCGTAACACCTCGTAAAGCTTTAACGCTTCTGATTGAACCACACATTTAAATTCCAGAAAAGTAAAATAAATAAATAAATAAACAACAACAAGAAAAAACAAAACAGGATTAGGTTTTCAAGTTGGAATACGTTTCGCTTTTCATCCAGGAAGCTTTTTTTCCACTTCTAAATGTCATTGACATTTTGAATTGAAAAAGCTTCGTGGATTTCCTTTTTTGTAATGACTATGACCTTGATGACTGAGAATCTTCACCGGTACCCACAATTGAACGCATTTTACTGGGGTTTTATGTGATTCAGCCGTTTGAGCAGACGACAACAACAACTACAACAAAAAAAGAGTCAACAAATTCACATCACACTTCTAAATGTGTACACGTTCAGTGGTAAGAAGACACTTCTTCCTGTTCTTATTTATAACTGCACTGCATTTTTTTCCTCTAAGAGGAAACTCTTCTGCTGTTTACAGTTTTGTTTCTTTCTCATGATTTAATCAAGGAAGTTTTTTTTTCTATCTTCTATCTGATTGTTTTTGCCAGTGTCACATCAGATCTCCCTCCATGGGACAATAAAGGCATTTCTTCTTCTTTCACTTCCCCTAATAACCATACATTGGATATGTGTGGGACTTAAGAAAAGAGCATCTACAGGATAGATAACAACCATGGAAGGCATTGCTCCAGCTGTCCAATAACCAGCTGTTTAATCACTTGTATCTTTCATAGCTAACTGTAAACTATTTTTTATATTTTTAGGTATTCCCCCCCAAATCTCTGGGAAAAAATTTGAGAGTGTTTTTTTGTCCTTTTTTTCTATTCTTGTTGGAGGTCTAAATAAATTCTGTTGCACAGTGACAACAAAGCAGCTTTTCCTGTATAGGTTAGAACAATCCACCAACATCTCCTACCACATTGTCACCTTCTCCTTCTAACCTTCACATTAGCCTCTCTTTGTCATTGCCATTTATTTCCCCTGCAGCTGTTCCATGGCCTTGAGCCACAAGCTGTATTATCTTTAATCCCGGAAGGAGGATTTAGATTAAGGGTAAGAGTGTGAGCCTTCCTGATCTATAAAATATAAATGAGCTAATTTCATTTTGAGTAAATGTATCAGATCCTCCTATGTTTTTTTTTTTATTCTACTGAGTATTCTAAATTGAAACAGCTCTCATTTCTTCAAACTTTAGTTCCAGTTAATCAAACTGGTCTTTTTAGTTAAGTTCTTGAAGGCAATTCTCCCGCCCACAGCAATCTCCCTCTGTTTTCAGGGCACAACTTCCTTTGCTTGACTCATGATCATTGAACAACATCACAGAATCTTCAAAGTATCAAACTGCTACAGTTTGCAGAAGTTGCCAATGCAGAAACTTTAAATGGCATCTTTAGGCACTTTGCTCCCATAACCTGACTGCAAGAACATTTGTTCCCATTTCCTTAACTCCATCAGAGATAAAACAATCAATATTAATATGTCTGAAAGCACTACTACTGTACCTTAAGCTCAACAGACCTATTATAACTTCTAATTAAATAATTAGCCTGATGCTTTGTCATGCTTCACTTATGCTGTTTTTTTTTTGTTTTTTTTAAGTACAAAACACATAGGTTTGGCTTGTATCTTATGTTGAATGCTCTTGTTTATAATAAACTATTTATTCTGATTATATTTTAATATTTGGCATTTGTCACAGATGCATTTAAAAAGAAATGAAAGAAACTGTGTCTGTTAGAGTTCTTTAGTAATAAAGTACCTGAAAACTGTATTATTCAGACCTAAAACTGACACACATCCTGGGTCTTGGTGCCCTTTTTATAGTTGAAGACCTTAACTTCCTCTTCTGGCTATTATTAGATACACATGTCTAAGAACTGGATAGAAACTGAACTAAAAAGGAAAACAAAAACAAAAAACACACAAAAAAAGGTCAAACCTGTACAACTTCTTTGGTTTGCTCCTGACTTTAGAGCAGCTATAGCTTATATATACACTTCTATATTAAACTTTAAAAAAGGGTACATTTCTAATGATGTTTGTTGAAAAACTATAAAAAAGTATTTAATCATTAAATCCTATCAGTTTCTTTATCCTTTCAACCGACACTTTGAACCTATCTCAAATCTTGTTAAATTAGTCCTAATAGATAAGGAGGAACTTTATAAGCATATGTCAGCTGGACGCTCTGATCAGTGGTTTCTGTACCTGATTCTGGAGTGTAAGTGAAAGACTGGGCCTCATGTGATCTACCGGCATTGGTCATCACAAAGATCCCCACAGACACAGGAGAAGTGATGGACTGGTTTTGGAATGGAGGGACCGTCACCACCAAATGATTCTGGATTAAACAGAACAGACTTCATTAGTGACAGGCAGACATGTCTGATACAAACATTTAGATTTACGGTGTCCTGCAGGGTTTTCATACCCCATGGATTTGTAAGATTTTACTACTTTTAACCAAAAACATTAATGTATTTTACAGGCATTTTGAGTCATGGACAAAAAGTAATAAAAGTAGGGCTGCAACTATAGATTATTTTGCTTATTGATTAATCTGTCGAAAATTTTTTCAATTAATAGATTAATAATCAGATAGCCAAAGGTTCCTTAAAAAAGATGTATTACAATTTAAACTAGGCGAAACTAAAACAATTCAAATTGAGGAGTTCTGGATAAAGCATAATGACGGATGAAACATTTTTTTTTTATCTTAAATGCAAAATATTTCTTATACTTTTATTTTACAATTTTGATATAATTACTGCTCTAAGAGGGTTGCTCTATCACCTAAAGGCATGTTTTAGTCTCTATACTCAGTTAACGATTAATTGATTACTAAATTTGTTAAAGATTATTTCAATAATCGATTAATTGTTTTAGCCCTAAATAGACGACGGCAGCAATTAAGTGGAGTATGAAACTGTATTTATCTCCCTGCTGAGTCTTTACTTTGCAAAACCACCATATGCTGTGATTCTCCTTCTGTAACATAACAGTCAAGATCATAGTGATGTTTTAATTATGCCTTTTATTATGTGTGAAGGAGCTGCATATATATATATATTTAAAATTTAAACAGCTGGCTGCTCTAACAGCTTTTTTTCCATCACCTCTGTAGTTATTTGATTGGTTTTAAACAGTTTCTGCTCACTCTTTAAGGCAGCCTTTGAAATCAGGTTCTATCTGCTCTTTTCCAGACTGATATGACTGATGGTTAACGCCGTAGGTCACTCTGGCTTGCCAAGCTAGTTAAATGTAAAGCTGCCTAAACAGAGAGTCTCTGCGATTTAACAAAAAAGCATTTTGTAAAATTGTGAATATTACATATAAATGTTGCTGTTTTAGCGGTAAAGTAACCATTTTCTTTTTCAAATGATGGATTAACCAGCGCTTATTTGCAAGTTTATTTATTTGGATTTAATTTTTTAAGCTAATACATTCTCTAAACACTAGAAAATGTTCCGTGACTGGTCCTTAGTCTTTATGATGCTATCTTTTCCTTCGTCTTCTAAGCAAACCTCTGGGGCTTTTCAAACAGAGGTTTATGCCCATCATATAAATTAAATCAGATTTGCTACTCATATTTTTTGGACAAATCCAAACCAAATATTATGCTTGTGCTTGCAGTGCAAAAATACAACTGAAAAATGAGGTGTGAATACGTTTTTAAGGCACTTTATAAAGAATATAGTTTCAATTCAATTTAGTTTATTTATGAATAGTAGATGTTTGCAAGTACCTGATGAAAAAGGTCCATGTCGATCTTTGCCTCAGCTTGCCAGGAGTTATCATCTACAGAGTTGAGAGCAAATAAATTTTTTTAATTTTAATTTTTCCAGCATCTATTTAAAATACAAACACAAAAGCTTACAAGAGGCAACAAGATCTAAAGGAGTCTCAAAACTGACAGCAATACCTGAAATGTTCTCCTGAAATATGACTTTGGTTCCTTTGAGGAAGTTCTTTCCAATTATAAACACCTCATCGCCTCCTTTCACGGAGCCGCTGTGGAGACTCTTCTTCAGGATCTCAGGCAGTCCGGCTGGCTGGGCTGGATATAGAAGAAGTTAAAGAACAATTATTATTTTTTTTTTTTATTATTCAAATTTAAAACCATTTTAACAAACAACAAAACAGAGCCAGTACATCTGCCAGTACAGTTTTCCCATTCAGTTTGAAATACTCACTGCAGAGAATAGGTGATGAAGGGACCTGCAAAGTCAGCACTGATCCATCAGGTTGGGGGATGTTGACTCTGAAGGCCAGCCTGGCTCGTGTACTTTTCTTCTTGGACCCAGCTACGCCGATACGTGCCTCAACATCTGCGTTACGCAGCTTCAAAATTCCTACACAGTCCACACTGCAGACACCAACATGGGAAGGTAAAATAAGCCTTACACACTTAAAAAAGACACAACAAGCAAAGGATCTGTTCTTACGCTAGCATCATGTCATTGCTGGGCTCCAGCGGGATCTCTATAACCGTGGTGCCGTCTATGTCCACCTCCTTACAGGCCGTGGTGTTGCGTCCTGTTACCCGACATGCCTGATAAAAACCATGAGGCTTCACTCTGCCTGCATCATTGGCAACAAACACTTGAAGGATCACTGGTTCGCTAATGCCTTCCAACTGTGGACAGAGCAATAAAGATAAAAAAAAGAATAAACAAGAAAATAAGTGAATGGAAACAGTGACTTAATCCCCTGCAGGAGAAACTTTACCTTTAAACTATGAGGTTTGGTCTAAATTCAATTCTGTATAAAAATATGAAAAAAAAAAAAATAAAAACAACTGACAATCAGATTGAGAACATATCTAATGCTTTAGACTCTTTCCAAGATGACATTCTAAATTCTGAAAATGCAATTTTTTTAATAAACCTTTCTAACTTAATATTCAAGCATCTGAGTCACTTTTAAATTAAATAGATACATTTGTATGAATCGTCAAAAAAAATTGTGAAGGGAAAATGTCATTGTCTATTTAGTCCCTGGAGCCCACTAGGTGGCAAAGCTTTAAATTGCTGCTGTTTCTAAGCCTGGTTCCTCCTTTGATACCAAACAAACTATTGACTCTGCTATCTTCTATTTTGTTTTTACAAACAAAATATCAGCAAAAGGACAAATTAAAAAAAAATGCGATTAAAAATATATAAATAAATAATGTCAAGATTTGACGTTTTGTTTTTTATAGATTTTAAAATTTAGTTAATTATTTTTTTTCCCCATATGCTCCAAAAGGAATAAAAAGGTCCTTTTATACATAAGCTGAAGCTAACTTCAACATTGGGCTGTATTATGGTTAGAGAAAAAAATATTTCTTAACCCAACTGGATAACTGATATCTAGAGTGCTATGGAACCTACTGAAAAAAAGGCTAGGAATGTAAGCCTGGACAAGCTCAATGAAGTCTTGCAGATAAAGCCCTATAAACAGACATTTTTAAGCTATTTGAATTTAAAGTTATTTGGTTAAAAGATCAATCTACAATTTATGGATACAAATTTAACTTGTGTTTTTTTAATATAGGTGCTTCAACAATTATATCATTGAGATGTTTATTTCAGTATTTTATTACTGCTATGGAGCTCACATTTGACAGATCCAATAAATACAGAGATTTATTTAAATTCTTATTATCTTGATGATTATGGACTTAAAAGTTTGGTTTCTCTGTAAATAACAATGCAGACAAAACAATATCTTGATAAGGCATTGCTTCACAGGTCTATTAAACTGCTGTAGCTTTTTCCTTCCACTCGACTTTCCATTATAGCAGTGGATACTCGGAGGATAGTCAACTTTTACAGTGATTACTTTTATTTGCTCTGATATGATTTTATAATCTTTGGTGAAACAAAATGTTCATTAGCTGCTAACAACAATAAGACTGACAGACAAACCACTGAAATACATAATTCTGTGTTCTTTTTAAACAAATTAATAAAAAATAATTCTTTTAGCATCAACATACAGTAGACTGGAATGTTGATTGGTATTAATATTTTCCATATCACTTTCAGGCTCTTCCTGGTTAAGGCTTAATTGTGGCTGTTTGGGGTCAAACCTTGACAGTGGGGAATCCTTGCTGTGTTCGATCTTTAACTGAACCTCTGCTGCCCTCCGTCAGATACCGAGCTCTGTGCTGGGTCTCTGGCTGCACCAGGATCTTGAGCTCCTTTCCGTCACTCCTCTGAGGAAACTGAGCAGACAGCGACCCACCCTTCACTGCAGTTCCTGAATCCAGAGAGCTGAACAACAAAAAGAAAAAAAACTCAATTACTGTAGACAAAAAGAAACTAAATTGCTTTTATTATATTGCTAGAAACACGGTGCGGTGCTGCTGTCATTTCAAATAAAGTAACACAGTTTGAGGAAGGTACGAACCTTGCAATTGTGCTGCTCTTGTCTGTGCTGAGCTGGGAGAGGACAAAGTGAGGACCCTTGGCGCTGTCGGCATCAAACACATCCATGCTGTTCTCTGGAGGAGCAGGTTTGGGGCCCGGACGCTGGCGGGGGGTGCGTTTTCTGGATTTGCGTGGCACTTCTGTGTTGTCGTTGTATGAGATGGAGCTGATCAAGCTGAAGTTGGACACGGAGTCGTCGGCCCACATACTGCTGCTGTGCTCCGAGTCCGGACACGGTGCAGTGGATATGGTGGGTTCATCTTGGCAAGACATTTGGCTGTCATCGAACAGATCTTCGGGTGGCGGTGATATGCTCAACACAGGCCTTCGCTTTGATGGGGTGTTTTGCAGCTGTTGCACACCGAGCCCTGACAGCACTCCGCTCCCTATGTCCCCGCCTGTGTTGTTGGATCCACCTGTGCCTCTGCTGGGGGCGGAATCGGCGGCCTCCATTCCTTGCATCTCGGACACTCTGGCCCCGTCTCCTCCCGCAGAGTGGAGATGCGGAGAGACTGTCAGATGTTCTGAGGCAGAGGTAGAGCCGCCACTGGATGAGAGTCCCATGGCCAGGGAGGAAGAGGCAGAGGGGCTGGAGGTGGAAGAGTTGGCATCTGTAGTGGCATACACAGACAAAGTTAGCACAGGTGTTCAGCACAGAGCAGGCTAGCAGTCCCATTCAAGCAGCTGAATTTGTGCATGATTTGTTTTGATTTCCCCTCTTCCCAACTCTAATTTCAAAAGACCGTTAGTCAGTTTTACGCTCTCACTGTGCATGCGAGAGCTGCCAAGCATTGATCCAATAATCTGAAGTTAAAGTTGAGAAGGGTACTATTGGTCCCACAAAGTTTTGATTCTTATAAAAACCTCCCAATTAAAAATCAAGGTGACAAAACTGACATGCTTTGTTTACAAAAACAAAAGCAAGCTACAAATTGTTACATACACATTGCCAGAAAGAAACAGAACAAAACCTGGTCAAACTTTCTTGTACAGCCAAATTTATTTATTTTTATTTATTTTTTGCAAGCTGAATAAATGTGGCGCCAAATTAAAAAACAAAAAAAATTGCCAGGGTTACATCACAGTTTGTGCAATGTGCATTCAGTAGAAAAAACAGTAGAGTTTGCGCATGCCAATTGGAAGATTTGGTTGGGACTGAGCGTAGCCATGGAGACAGAATAAACAAGCCTCTGACCTATGGAGCAGTGAACTGCAGACCATTTTATATGCAGACACTCCCTGCCTCAGAGGGAACTTCCTGCAATAAAAACGAGACAGCCAATGAGCAACAAGAGAGCTGATCATTCAAGACTCAACTTCTGTCAATCTCTAAATTGGATGAGTGAATACACTGAAGGAAGGAGTAACTTTGGAAGTTGATCATGTATAGACACTTAAAAAGCATGTGCACTTTGTTAATAATGATCTGAAAGACATTACAGTAGTCATGCTTTTGATCAGCACTGCTTAGGGCCAGCTAGCCCAGACAGAACGGTGAAAAGGTAGCGTTAAACAGAAAGCGCCCCCTCCAACCCGACTGCTGACCAGTTAGTTTGCTGGTTACTCTAAAAGAGGATCCCTGGTAGTTACAGGTAAGGTTTGATCGCAGTCCTGAACCATGATCTCAGATCAGACCATTTTTTATTGCAGTTTACTAAAACAAATGACCTCCAAGGGGCAACTTGACCATTTCATCAGATTAAAAAAATCCTTTATAAATCACTGAAAACATTACCACATAATTTATAATTTAAAACAAATGATAGCCTAGTAGTTCATGTAGCATTTTCTTTTTTAGGCCATAAGCCATCCAAAACCATTAACAGCCGACAGCTTTATTACAACTAAATAACAGATGTAGGAGCAACAGAACAGCTTAAATATTAGAACAATATCTTTTGTGTAAATTGGACACAAAAGGCTCTTAGCTTTAGAGATTATTGGCAGTAAATCTTATACCACTGAAAAACCTGTTAGATTTCCTTTCAATTTAGCCACCTATTTTAGGAAAATGTAAGCTGTTAAAATGTAAGAAGCTAACACACCGCCAATCTGGAAAAAGCAAACATATTGAATAGTTAGTGCTTCATTAGTGCAGGTTTGTGCAATTAAAATTATTGTTTGTGCTACTTTGATATCAGACAGTAAAGATAATTTTTTTAGGACATCCAGACACCACCATCCCAGTATTAACCTCTGAATTGAACCAAAGGGTTGTACTTTTTTAGTGCCACGTTAGTGCAGATTTTTGCAGTTAAAACTGTTTTGTGTTTCTGTAAGAAATTATTTTTTATTATTTTTATTTTGGTAGATGACATCACCCTCCCCCTATTGAGCTCAGATTAAAACCACAATGGTCTACTTGAACCACAGTGGTCTACTTTTTATGTGCTACACTAATGCAGATTAAATATTTAAAAATGACTGTTTAAAAAAAAAAAAAAAGCTGCACAAAGTTTATCTGCACAAATCTTCACTAACAAAGCACTAAAAACGTAGATCGCTTTGGTTCAATTGGGAGCTTAATGAGGGGATGGTGACCTCTGAATGACCTAACAAGTAATCTTTAATATTTCTGATAAAAAGTTGGACAAATTATAATTTGAAATGCACTGCACAAGTTTTTTCCATGGGTGGGGTGGTGTTGTCACACACCTGGATAAGCATAGACGAGTGAAGGGGGTGAAACAATAAATAGGTTTAATTGTGATGCCGTGATAAAGACAATTTTTAATATTGTGATAATTATTTCAAGAATCATCAGTTGATGCCGTAATAGAATAATTGTTAACTAGAGCATAAAGACTATAAAAAGATGCAATTTGCTGAAAGAACAACCCACTTAGAGCACAAATTAAGTCAAAACTGATTTTGCATTCAGGATGAGAAACCTTTGTCTATAAAAATGCCCTCCAGTACTCCTTACCAATTTAGTTTTAGGTCTTAATAAATAAAAATTTATAGTCTATTAATCACAATTTGCTATTTAATTATTAAATCAGTTATCAAGATAACCATTAATAATAGCAATAGTAACTGAACAATAAAGTTATATAAGCTTATGAACGTTTGGTGTTGATGATGGGTTGGGTGGCTAAAGCTTGAGGAAACCTGATATAATGGGAATTTAACAAATCATCTTTTTAACAGGCAGCAGCTGTGGTTGTAAGAACCTGCATCTTCATGCTGGTCTCACACACTGTGGTGGAATGGTATCCCATTCCACCTTTGGCACAAACAGCATGCCAAAAGCAGATCCAACAAGTGTTGGAAGGAGTTAAGCTGCAGGCAGGTCATTCCATCCATCTGATATCCACAGCACACATAACTAACTCTCAAGTGCTCTTTGTTACAAATCTGGCACCAATAAAGACTATAAACAGGCTTTTCAACACCATAAGATGCATTGCCAAAAAGCTTTTTGACAATAAAGAAATCATCAATTCAACCAGTTTCCTTACCATTTCTGCTAGGTTTATGAATTGTTAACAGCCTTAAAAGCTTGGAGCTAAAAAGCAAATGAAGAAACTAGAGCAAAAATAAATCAGGGAAACGGTTAACGCATCTCATTCAATATGTTAGCAATAAGTTTAATGTAAGAATTATTTGGAACAATTAACAGGAACAAAGCTAATAACAGCCAGAGGTAGGTCAATTATAGTCATTTCTAAGAGAGGCAGACGGCTCAGATTTGGTCTTAAAGGAAATACATGATTTCAGTTTCTAACTTTCGGTTTTACACAGAACTCTGCCTTTGAGGTAGAAGTTTGTTTGAAATCTAGTCTAAATGTTAATAGAAACTATATTTAGTTTTTTGACTAAATCATAATGTCATGTGTTCCGACAAATTACTTCAGAGTAAAATTTGTTTAACTGAATAAAACATTTCCATGTTTACAACTTATGAAGTTTAACATACTAGAGATACCACATTGGATAAAATCATCAGGGAGGGATATAGTGATAATAAACATATAAAGAAACATAAATACTGTGGTTGTATAACTGTGCACACACCCTCTGAGGATTGGGGATATGCTAACAATTTACAAACACCTTCTTTTAGCAAGAGCCAAAGTTCCCAGAGAGCTTCAGAAAACATCATTGTCTAAAGGTATCAAGAGAAGGACAACAAAAAATATTTTCAAGCTATTTGATATACTAGTTAAAGCAGTCATCATGGAACAGAAAAAATGTGGCAGAACAACAAAATTATTAGTTAAGTGACTCAGCTACATTAAAGAAGCAGCAGGAATTTCCTAAAAATCTTAATACAAGTTATTAAGGGCAATGCGAATATTGAAAATTTGTGAACACAAAATCCAAGTCTCACAAAAGAACACTACACCCACATTAGGGCATGGTAATGGTAGCATCATGGTTTGCATCTAGTTTTCTTCAGTTAGAACTGCGGCCTTTGGCAATACAAGCAGATCCAGATAACATTTACTGACAAGCCTTCATGCTCCTGCCAGAAAGCTGAAGAAGAATTTAATTGTCCAACACGCCAACGACCAAAAACAAAAATCATCAAAAGAAAGGCTTCAACAGAGAGAGAGAGTAGAGTGTCGGTATGACTCTGTCCTAAGCCAGGCCCGAATCTGCATTTCCCCTCATATTCTCATCTAATGTTTAAAGTAACATAAAGGTGTGCCCAGTTACACAACCATTTTATGTAGTAATACAGCTTATAGATCACCTTAAATGGCAGAAATAGATCTGAAATTATGGATATTGGTCTCATTTTTTACATAAAAAATGGTATTCTGTAGGTAGCAGAATATGACGGAGGAGTTGGGCAATATGGATTAGTATAATCTTATCTTATCTTGATCTGGTTAATCTAAACAATATCCAGCTGCTTTAAAAGCTAAATATTTCCCATGCTGCTGCTAACACAGTGCCATGCATTAACTGTGTACGGTGAAAGATGGAGTCATGACATCCATCAGTAAAAATAAACAAAAAAAAAGTAAAAAAAAAAATAAATAACCCAGCTTGATTTTAAAATATCACCTCCTAATCCTCAGAACATTTCCTACCAAAAGTAGGACTTTAAACTGCAGCTCAAAAACAAATCATGTCAATTTTCCTCCTGCTGCTTCACATAGTCTGTTGTCTTGCAGTTCAGTTGATTTTTTTTAGTTAAGTGTAGCAAGAACAAGCAAAACAAAAAACCAAAAAAAAAAAAACCCACAAGGTTAATTTAAAAAGATAATCATCTTTCAACACATGTTCTGATCATAATTGATAATGACATTAAAAACAAGCCTCCAACTACCTCTGAAGTAATGCCTTTTCAGCAGTGTGGTGTTTCACTTGTCCAAAAGTTTCATAACACAAATACTTGACTTAACTTTGGCGACTTATTCAAAATAAATTTTGCATCAGATGAAAAGGGTGAAGTTGCCCCCCGGACAATCACAAGGCCGTATTTGCCGCTTCGCCCCTGCTGATTTGGGGAATGGACCGTTAAAGAAAAACTGATCCCAGATCATGGTTTTCACAGGCTGGGTGGATGTCTCACCTGTGGCCAACGTTGCAGAGGGGGGAGGTCCCGCCTCTCCCCCGCTCTTCTGGCTCATGGTGGGTGGGTCTGTTTGGGTGGACGACGGCTGAAGCTGGAGCTCTTTGGGGAGGAGGTCATATACTGACTCTGCCATGAAGGTGAGGAGAAGATGCATTAGTTTAATGAAAAATAACTTAAAACACATTATAATACATCCAAATGTTTACATTTTCTTTTTGTCAGTTATTATGGCCTGCTCTGTCTGAAACCTATAGTCTTTCTAGAGGTTTCTAAAGTTCAAAAACAGAACAGTATCTACCTTCGAAGAAGATTATTATTATTATAAAAGTCAATACTTTTCCAAGCCTAACCCAACCAAATCAAAATATCAAATAATGTAGGCCAGAAATGTCAAATGTTGTACTTTATTTAAATATAGAACCCTGAAGATGCAGATATGGATAAATGGATGAATAAAAGACATGGATGGACAGTGTCAGACAGATGAATGATCAGGTCAAGGACAAATATAGATAAATGGACCAAAGAATGGGGAATGAGTCAAAATACAAACATGACTCCATTACATTTGGAAAATTCTTCAATCCAACCTACACTTTTCCATACTACATATAGCTCCTTGGATCTCATACCAAAATAGCAACTCTATAGATAAACCAACACAACACAGGACAACAAAATAAACTAAATTTGTCTCCTACAGTCAAGTAAAAGCATAATTATATTTGATCCTAACATCATTCCTGACTGAAATCTCTAACATCTATAACACAACATTAAGCCTCATACTGGCTGATAAACACATCATTCTGCAACCCAGTTGCTAAGAAACAGGCACCTATCAACATTGTGACATGGATATTTCAGCTGCGCATTGGCAGCAGCAGCCAGCATGTGTAGTAGTCATCTGACACTTGGCACCAGCAGCGTCTTAACGCAAACTAGAGACTTGATCTCACACTTCTGACGTAAACAAGCAACAAATCTTAAGTCCTGTTCACACAGTTCATCACAGACAAGGATGAAAGTACTGATGTTTGAAAATGAGAGCCGACTGTCCTTTATGATGCTTGTTCAGAGCTTGTCTGCTAATGCTTTAATGTTTGCAGTAAATGCATATTACAGGAGAGAAGGAAGAGAATTATTAAGAGATCCACTTGGCTTGAAAGCCAAAACAAAATGAAGCACAGACCAGGTAATTCATGATTACTGGGTAAAACCAACAAATCTTGTAAGATCTATGACCTGTGCAAATAAAAATAGATGAAAAGAACCGCAAAGAACCGTCTGCAGATGAGTGAGGACCATAAACTACTCCTAATAAAATGAGTTTTCATATTGTGTGTAACCATCTTCAATGTGGTTTTACAATTCTGGCAAGGCTTTGTTATATTTTAAAGAAAGCAGGTCTTTGTTTCTGGTTTCATCAGAGATTAACTGCAAAGGCGACATGACCTCAGTCTAAACTACAATCATTGGCACCGAGGAGCTTAAGTCTACTGCATGTGTGTTCAAACAGAAGCCGTTTGTCAGCTGCAGAAGAAGTCAGAGAAACAAATATCTTCATTGTAACACAGAACATGTGCAGCAGCAGGAACTCGATATATTTCTGTCGAACAACAGAAGGACATCACATGAGAGGGACAGGAATGGCAGTTTATCCTGTGATCCGTTGTAGGAGGAGGGTTCAAGGAGATTAGGTGGCTGTGACCGACCTGATCAAAACGGCTACACGCTTGGTTAGAGTCTGTGCTCTGCTCACAATTTTAATTTAATGCCAGACTGTCAGACAGGTTTCCTCACATTAAATGATGAACATTATTCCAAATTGTAGCATTAAACCAATGTATTCGATAATTTAGTTCAAACACATTTTTATACTGATGCAACACAATCTGGGACATCTCTACAAGTATTCAATGCTTAAAGGGGAAGTCCTGGTATCAATGTTTGTTCCTCCTATAACTTGTCAAACTATCTAGTTTTTAACTTGTCGAACCTACTATAACTGATTTCTGTATTTTGATACACAGTGGGAGAGCCATGGCTACTATCCTCACAACCATGTGGGAGATTTTTTTAAAATGCAGACAGTTTAGCTTGCTCTGCAGGTGGTTGCAACATTTTCCCACCACAGTCTGTCCACTGGCGGGAGTGTATGTTCACCTGTACACTCTGGGGGCAGGCCACAGGGTAAACACTGACCTGTGTGCAAATCCCTGCAACTCATACGAACAAGCAGACATTTGAATACTGCACAGATTAAGTTTCAAGTAACTTCCCAAAGCATTTATGGAGCATCTTTACAAGACGTTTGATCTAAACAAGACTCTAACCTTAGTGGGGATCTAGGAAATGGATTTTAACAGCTTTTACTTTAACAATGAAGAACACATACTTGGCGCATTTGTTTTTTTTGCAGACTGAATCTTAGAATTTTGGGTCACCTGCCAGATGATAAAAAAAAAAAAAGAATTTAAAAGTCACTTGGAGGCGAGCATGCAAAGTGCTTAAAATCTGCCACAAAGATTAAAAACCCAGACTAATAAAGCCTGAAAAGGCGACATTGGTCAAAACAGTGGGCCGCAACAGAAAAGTCACTCGGGCGGAGGTTTGACTTCAACCTACACCGAGAACAATTAAATTATGTCATCTCATAGCTATGTGCTGCTCACATTACGCATGCCTCAGAGGTTCTGCCAAGACACAAGGGCATCGGTCCGTTTCTATTCGGGGGGGGCGATGAGAGGGCGAAGTAAAAGGCTATGTTTTAGTAGTATATAAAAGAATAACAATTTTAGCAAAAGCAAGAATTCATCTCGGTGCAAAGGCTCAAGCCAGAACCAAAATAAAAGATTTACTCAATGCAATCAAACTACAAAAAGAATGTATACTTTTTCCAACTCTTTAACACAATTTTATTTCACTTCTTACAAAAACAATGAAGAGCTTTGGAATCTGTTTTTTTCCTGCCTACAATAATCAGCTATACAAGCTGAGCTGAAACAGATAAACAGAAAAATAAAAAATTTCAATTAATTAAAAACCCAGTCTCCCCTTGTTTTGTGAAAACAGGAACCAACTCCATCTCCGTTTACTCTACATACTTCCTTTAAATCGCTCTGCAGTTTTGGGTATAATATCTAAAATTTGTACGACAGGTTTAATTTCCCGCAAAGACATCTAAAAACTGTTTTATTATCTCTATAGTATCATAAAGCCTAACTGATAACCACCCTGAAGGTAAACTGTTAATACTTCAAAAAAAATACTAATTATTTTACCTGCAACACTTCTTTGTCTTGTTTAAGCTGAGAGAGAACAGCACTGGTGGCCGACAGCGGCAAACATCCAGTTGTGGGTGGGTTTCTCAGACAGATGGCCTCTACATTCAGAAACTGACCATTACTGCCAACCCGGGCATTAAGCTACGTGGACAGTCCACTGTATCATCAGCAAACATCTCAGAGTTGCTTTTGTTGGCAAGCAAAACTCAGAAATGAATTGTAGACAAACTCCTTACAGATCCTTTTCAACTCAGCTTATTAGTCCATTATTAGAAAAATTACATGCCTGGTACATGGCTATAATCTAGATTGTTTACATTTACAAACATACTTTATAGTACAGGACCACAATGGATTTGAAATATTTTCAAGAATTGTCATCCGTCTCACTTTGAGGCCCAACAACAAAACAAAAACATAAGAGACAGACAAAAGAGGACTATTTGGACTCTGTGGAGCCAGTTGTCTTCCATACGTATTTGAGTTGCTCTTATATTTTGAATAAGAGCTTCTGCTACTTAGATTCCAACACGTATTCCCACTCTCACACTCCCCCAGTTACTGAGATATAAATAAACAGTTATGTTGTGGAGTGTGACCATATGGTAAGTCTCACCTAAGCAGGTCAGGGTTACAGAGCTTGCTGTTGGCTTAAGGAGGCTAGGACAGATGTGGCACCAGCAGGCAGGTTCAGCACCAACGTTTAAAATACAGACAAAATCTGAGGTGGCATCAAATCAGAATATTTATCTTTAATCATGTTTGAACATTAAACCCTGGGCATCGCTTCATAAATAAGACTTAAAGACACGAGCAGCCTCGTGTACAAAGGAGTGTGCAGCTTTCCTTTTTATGCAAGATTGGGAAATTTCTAAATTTGCAGAACAAAAAAAAAAATAAATTCAGAAATATAAAACCTTTGACATGTCACTGCACAACAATCCAATTTGGGTTGAATTGGTTAAATAATGATGGCCCAAAAATATGTATGTAAACAAGTATAAACAACCAAAAGACATCATCTGTCCTAGTTGCCATCGCAAGGTTTGTCACCGAGAGACTCTGTCGACATGAAAGAGTCTCATTAAGTATTAAAAAAAACATCAACTCTGTGGACATTTTTGGATTGACATTGTTTTATTAAACCCAGATTGTGTTTTGTGCTGCATTGAGTCCAATTATTGTAACATCAAATCATTAAAATTCACATGAATATTTCCTTCAGGAAAATGTAACCAGACACATCTGAAATATAGTTATGCACTACCGCATAAATTTGACCCAAGTATTATTATAATTTCAGATATTAAATTCTTTTTCAGGTCAACAAACAATAGATGAAGGTTACAGGCCTAGCAACCCAAGTCGCTGAACGTCACACAACTGTTGCTTTAAAAGATTCAGAGTGACACAAAAAAGAATCAGAATTCCTTTAAAGAAAAAATTTAAAGAAGCCATCCATCACACACAGACCCGAGTTTAAGTCTCTTCTTAGACACATTTGTGCATTTATATAGGAGCACAGCTATTTAATGAAAATGTGGTTGAATCATTAAAGGTAATTTATTCACAGATGGGGCTCTTATGGTAATACGAGTACAGTCTGAGCTCTGACTATATTTGAAAAATCAACTTCTCACTTCGAATTTTAATTATGTCTACTCAGGTACATTTTATGGTATACCCTAAAATGCTTTATATTACAGATGTGAGCAGCATACAGAAGAGGCATTTATTCGCTCTGGGATGTCTTTTACATATGGGATCCGTCATTGGCTCCCTAAAAATCTCCGGTTGCAAAGAGCGCAGTAGTGAGAAGTTAAACCCGAGTGTCTCAAA